AGCTCTAACACCACACTATCTGAACAGACTGTTAAAAATACCAACTAACCCACCCAGTTACTTCCATTCATTTGGGAATAGCAACACCTCCCACAGTATTAGGACCTTATTACTGACTAAGAGTATCCAATGCTTGTCTGTGGGGAAGGGGGGACTGGGTCACTGTCTTATCCCTTGTTAAGCATCCAAGCTGTCAAATCTATCCTAGCGGGTTTCTGTACTGTCAGGAACTGCCATGTCTAGACTTGGCTCTGAGAAGCGCCCAGAAAGACCTAGAAGAAGAGGTAGAGGCTGTGCCTGATTAAGACATGTCTCTTTATAGGAACAGGAGAAAAGCATTAACTCCTTGTCAACACACCCAAGCACTGAAGAAAATGAGCCGCAAAGCTGAATTAATTCAAGGAAACTGAAGGCGGACTCTTTTCCTTTGAATGTAAGCGTGTGCCTACACACAAACCGAGCAGATGCCTCATGTGTGCTGTTAGCTGGGCTCTCTCTACACTCCCTCTCTCTTTTTAAGCTCATCTACTCAGTGTTTTCTTAGGCACAACTGAGGCATTCGTGATGGGCACACAATACTAACAACCTCATCCTTAAGCATGCAGAATAACACGGAACTGAAGGGCTGTTTTTCATAGTCACAAAAATCTGATGTACAGGTACAAAGGTTTTCCCAGTTCAGTTCTTTCACAATAGAAAGATAAAATTTGGATGAACTGTAACAATTTAGTTCTCCATCTCTGTGTCATCCCCTCTTCTCTCCCTCTGTCTTCCTCTCCCCTGCTGATGACTCTGAAGGGTACCTGCTTGCTTCCTTTTAGTACATTGTGAAGAGAGATATACGACAGCAACCAAAGCATTCTCGCATCCTCCGGAACTACTTGTGCACAATCGCCAATTAAAATCAGAACAGGAACTGCATGACTCAGCTGAATGTGGGACACGTTCAGTATGCCATTCTTCAAACAAGGTCCAGCCTATAAATAGCACACACCTATACATGAAAGAAAACAAACATCTTTCCTTTTATATAATGTCAAATAACTTAAGGGTTTGACTGTAAAGATATTTATGCTTGGCTGTGCTCATGTCAAGTAACATTTAAAATCATATATCATCACCGATATGAAAACCAGCTTTGATTTAGGACTGCTCTGCTGCAGTAATATGTGTCTTCTTTGACCTAAAACACAATGAACAACTATAAAGAACTCTGTCATGGTTAAAGCAGCCTGGAACAAACTGATGTACACTATAAATTCTAAGAACAGGGAACATGGTTAAGGGTATATGCTGTTCTTCTTGTTATATGTTTTTCATTATAATTGTTTTACTTCAATATTATTTTAAGGTTTTATTAATTTCTTTTCATATTCTTTTTAAGGATGTAACAACATTTGTAATTTTGAGATATCACAGAAGAAAAATGTCTCAATACCGTAATGGGACTGTGTATTTACCAGAATTTTGCGCACGATTATTTTGCTAGTATAACTGCGTCCAGGCTGTAGAATTTGAAACTTACATTACAAATGCTCCATCATTGTCTTTTAAACCTGTTGTGTGGCAGCATTTTAGTTTTCCTGCTTCAAATAATGACACAGGTGGAAAGGAAACTGAAATTTGCTGGATGAAGGCAATATTAACCCCGTTTAGGACTGAGACACTCACTTATTAACCACCCTTAAAGTCAGTTCTATTGAAAGAATAGACTGCGATGTTTAAAAAACACCTCCAGTAAAGCACAAATCTTTATGTAGCTTATCCTGGTTTGGTGTCTTCTCCTCATTCTGCTGCGCCAAGCAGCAATTTACTCACTACTGCCCCCGGTGAGTTCAGGGGGTACCTGTGTCAACTGGTCTAGTACTGAGGACCTGGCCACCAGTCAGCACGGCCACCACACAGATAAACTTACTAAATCACAGATGTTCCACTGTGCGTGTGACTTGTTTATAAAATCCAACTGCTGCAATAATATTTTACTTCATAAAAGGACTCCTACTGACTGCTGCTTTGTGTGTGTGTGTGTGTGTGTGTGCGTGTGTGTGTGTGTGTGTGTGTGTGTGTGGTTTGCATTTGTACAAACAGTTCAGTGATTCGGTGCCAGTGATAATTCAGGCCAAGTTTTACACATGCTTAATAATATAGAAGGAAAGCAGGAGCAATAAGTTAGAAGGAAAATCACAATTAAATGACAAATATCGTACCGTTAGTTTTGGATACTGATACATAGATACATCCCTACTTTAAATTGTCTGATCCTTTCTTTTTTAGGGTGTATGGCGCTCTGAGCTGCATTTTGTTTCTGAAAGGTGCTATATAAAGTTTACTTTACAATTATGTTAATAAATGTGAGAATATTCACAGCCAATTTCCTTCAAGCCATTCATCTGTTTCCTCTTTAGTACTGAAATTTAACATATGAAATCAATATGAGATTTGATTAAATTAGTAGATGTCCTTAATTTTGTATACTTAGCATTTAGTTAGTTGAAACTGTTGCATGGGTCAGAGTAACTTCATTTAAACACCTGCCATTTTAACTGCATACACTGTCAGCTTTTGTAATGGGCT